AGGGCTCAAAATAGGACACTTTGGTGAACACATCAGGGAAGTTACAATTTAGTGGTCCAAAAGAAACAATGCCGTGAGCCTTCCCATTGCAGACCAATGGGCCACCAGAATCACCCTGTGAGAAAAAAGAGTGGGAGGGATCAGATACATCAGAGAACAGCTCTCCCTGCCCTGAGGAAGAAACTGGCCCTCTTGCCTCTCCCTGGGTGAAGAACCTCCTCTTTCAGTCATCTCCCTCCAGCCCCAGCTCCACAGGGCTTGTAGCTGCCTTACTGCTCCTCTGTGTTTGAGATTCAAAATCTGCCTTCACAGCCCTGAAGACAAGGATCTCACTCTATTTTAGACACAGAGGAGTATCCAAGCCAACCCACTACACCAGGAGGATAAGATAAAAGATTTACAGGAGATCTGCAGCCTGCTGGAGCAGTGGCTAGGCTGCCTAGGATGTTCCCAGGTGTGTAAAAAGTCATACGACGCTGAGAGATGGGCAACTGCACACCAGTTCAGGGAGCATATTAGCTTCAGAGCTCCTGAGAAGAGTCTCCACACATCATCCTGAATATTCTTCTCCACTTTAATCCCCTCCATTCCCCACCTGAGAACCAGCCTGACTGTCTTGTCCCAAGTCTGGAGCCCCAAACCAAACTTACATAGAAAGCTGACTTTCTGCGATTCTCATCACCAACACAGATCATAGATCGCCGCAGGTAATCCTTGGTGAAAGATGCCTCACACACTTTCTCATTCTGCACCTTCAGATCCACCTCCAGCAGCACATTAGTCTCATCCTCTGCCATTGATGCCCGTTGTTGTCCCCCCCCGGCCAGCCACACTGCATGTAGTTCCCGGTTTTGCACAATCAGTTTCACTGGGCAAGGGAATATAACTCACTGCCTCAGTCAGCCTGGCCTCTGGATTCAGCTGCCAAGCAGAAAGAACATGTGGGAGAGCAGGCAAAGGAACAAGTTCATGGGGTTGAGGAAGGGAGCACGGGGAGATCCCTGGGCAGCAAGGTTATATGGGGGCTTACCTTCAGCAGCAAGATGTCATTTTCAGGGATGTAATTTTCTGAATATTTGGGATGGATGACCCAGTGATCAACGTGGAATATCTGCCAACTC